GTCCGTGTTTTTTCCTCGCTCTGCCGCTGTTCTCCAGTCCCACCTCTCATTGAACCATCATCTGCCGCTTTGGGACAGTCAATGCATACAGACTGAAGAGATACCGGATATGGCAAGCCATTTTAAGATACAGTCGGTTTTATCTGAACCACTATGGCAAGCCGTTTTAACATAAATTTGCAGCAGGATTTAGTAAATTTTAACTGGCAGCTACTCTGATATATGTTTCAGTAAAATTAGGAGACTTGTTTGTTAAAAAAATCAGAGATGCTACCAAAAAATCAGTTCGTTACAAAAATGGCAGCAGATTGTACATTTATAAAAGCTTGGCTTTTCAGGAGCATCACTCAGAGTTCCAGATTAAAATGAACACAGATCTGTTGTTTTCAGATTGAACAGAGAATCAGGCTGCAGAGCTTCTAGAGATCCTGAAAATGATTTTCTCTGGCATCATTATATCGATAGACTGGTTCATCAATCTGATTTTAATCAGAGCAGAGACACAATTAGGGAGAACTGCTGATTTAAAGGTGAAACAGACTGATTTCTCCAGCATCAAATTTTATCTATTTGAAGTCTCTCTGCCAGGCTGGTGTCTCTCAATCCCTCAATGAGGCGATCTCTTATTGACTCATCATGCTGAGGGTTGTAGTTTCAGTTTTCAACCAAAGCATAAAGCGCAGTAAAAAACAAGTCAACAGTCTCATTAACCTGCAGCACTCTAACCTTGGGGGTCGCTGACTGCAGCACATGAACCACGACAAAGCGCTGAGGGGCTTGGGGACAAACTCTCACTGAGCTCTAAATCAGGGACCAGTTCATAAACCGGCTCAGGGGTCTCTGGGGAGGGAACACTACGGAGACCTGACCATAGAGAGGCGACGCCAGAGGCCCTGAAACTGGATTTATCTGTTGATCCTGGAAGTGACGGCTGAGGGAGGACTGACCCGCCTCGGGGGAGGATTATGGTTAGTAGCAGGCCGTCTAGGGGGGCTCTGAAATTTCTGTAACTGATCCACAAGAAAGGAGATTTTTTCTGTAAATGCTAACACTAACTTACTCCGCTGTGCATCTAGTTGGAACATTTCTAGCTGCTCCTCCTGTTTGTTTAGCCGTCTCACCCGGGCGCCCAAAACTGAGACCAACTCTGCTGGTTTCTGGCTGGTTTGAAGGAACCAAATGCCGACACTGAAGCTGAAATGTCTTCTTCAAGATTTAATAACAATAACGATAACAGAAGCAAAAATCCAAAACATAAATCTGAGAACCAGGAATCCTCACAACAAAGACGACAGACCTGTAAAGAGTGACTGAATATATGGGAGAGAGAAGATCAGGCTAATCTGCAGATTGGGAGCAGGTGAGAACAGAGGAGACTAGAAGGGAACCAGGAGGAGACTGACACAAGAGGGCAGCAGAGAGCAAACAAGAAATACCTAAGAACTAAAATACAATAAAAAAAAATAACTAGAACATGAGATCCATGAAAACTCAGAGATTTGAACAGAACCAGAACCAGAACCAGAACCAGAACCAGGACCAGGACCGGGACCAGCACCAGGACCGGGACCGGCGGAACCTCAGAGAACTTTAAAAACACTAAACCTGAATCTGAGCCCTTCGTGACAGGAGAGTGGAAGGGTGGAGGTGTTGACTCCGTGGGTGGTGAGTGGGCTGCCGCGTCACGGACTGCATCCCCCCCCCAGCCTTTCATCCTGTGACGTAGGACCGAGGCAGAAGTTTAAAAAGCTGGCGCCCCCCCCCAGCAGCACTGCATTGGCTCTCTGCGCCCTCAGCTGCTCTTCGTGGGGAAAAGTTGCAGCTCCGTTCGTGTCCGTGGATCTGCTGCTTCTGAAACACCTGTGGAAAAACCGAGCCGCGTCCTTCTCCCTCCGTTGGTCAGAAGCAGAGAAACAGGCTGTTTTCAGTCTATTGGAGGTAAGAGTCACTCAGCCTAAACATTTAATCCCACCTCAATCATCAGAAGTTGATTTAAAGGTGATTTCTGCTCCTCAGCCAATGGCTGTGATCGCCCTCAGCTGCCTGTGGATGCTGCTGCTTGCGGGCTCATGCGTGAGGCTGGCGGCCGCCGCAGAGTGCGGGACGGAGTGCGCGCGCTGCGTGTTCAGTCTGCGGGGACAGAAATCTGCTTTCTCCACTCTGGTACTGTCATCATTCCCTTTAATATTCGCTCTGCTTTAAACTAAAAGACAAGTTTGCTTTTCCTTCTAAACTGGACCAATGAACAGAAACAGCTTCTTAATCTGGATTATTTAATCCTTTAGAAAACCAACATCCTGCTTTTATAATCTCCATTTATCACTTTATGACCTTTTTCTCTTCTCCTTTTTAATAAACATGCATCTATATTCATGTAATCCGATCATTTCAGGATGTAAAACAACCAGATTAGAAGATTAGATCAGTCAGTCTAAGGATTATTTAAACATTTCAACAGTTTTTCAAACTAGCTGAATTATATCGTTACATATTATACTAATTTATATTTAGTTACTTTAACTGATTTTTTTCATATTAGCATAATAGAACATAAAACAGAAACTCAATATTAAGCTGATGCAAAAAAAAAAAACCGGTTTCATTAAAAATATTTAGTTATTAGTTATTTATCTTCATTGTGTTTGAAGTTGTTTTAAAGGTATTGAGTATTTTTAACACACACACAC